CCATCCATCCATCCATCCACCCATCATCCATCCATCCATCTTCCAGCCACCCATCATCCATCCATCCACCCTCATCCATCCATCCATTATCCATCCACCCATCTTCCATCCACCCATCTTTCACCCACCCATTATCCATCCATCCATCCATCCATCCATCAAGTACCTACTCTGGGCTGTGAACTAGACTTGGCACTGGGGACCCAGAGGGAACCAGTCAGTTGGGAGTCCCAGCCCTGGGGAAGGGGGTCACATCCAAGCCCAGCAGATCAGATTACTGTATGGCCAGTGCAAGGACAGAAGCTACACACAGGAGGAGCCTGATCACTTTGAACAATGAGATACTTACATCTAGTCCTGGCTCCCCAGGTCTTCCCTGAGGAGAGACAAAGAGGACATGTAAGGGGCCAGGGAGGGGGTGTTGGGAGCACTACTGCTGGGATGTTCAGCCTTGTGAGTTGTCCACAAGCCTGATTTCTGGCCCTGGGATGGTGTAGTGCAGGGGGTTGAGTCCCCAAGGCCGAGTGACACCGTAAACGTGCAGCCATACTTGGCAGGCATTAAAGGAAGGTCGTTACCTTCTCTCCTTTGGTTCCTGGCAGCCCGATAAGGCCTGGAGGGCCAGCTGGCCCCTGGGTGGAAAAGGAATGGGTCAATTACAGGAATTAGTTACAGGAATTAGTGCCCCAGAGGGATAAACGAGGCTCATGACACTCACAGGCAGGCCGCTGGGGCCTCTCTCACCCGACACACCCTTCTCTCCCTTTGCTCCGTCCAAGCCCTGGAAGCAAAGAGGAGACATTGGTCAGGGGGAAGGGCTCAGACAGACAGCAGGACAAGAAAGCTTGGGGCCTGAGTGTGAGCTGGGGAGTGCAGGGCAGAGGAACGGACACCAGGCTCTCACGGGCTTGACCCCAGCTTCCTTCCAGTACAAACAGTAACCAAAGCCCACATATGGGCTCCCTCACACCCATTTCACAGATGAGTAAAGACAGGCAGAGGGAGGGGCAGGGACGGGTCCAGCCACCCAGCCAAGAAGCAGCAGGGCTGAGGACCCGTCGGGTTTCTGAGGCCCTGCCTTGGACCTCGTCCCTGACAGCAGCTGCCTCTTCTAAACACGATCTGGGGAGGGCCGTGGGGCCAAACAGAACCAGAAGCAGCACATCTGCTGGGGCCACATGCTCGGCCCTGCTCGGCTGTGGCATTCATGTCTGAGTCCCGCTGGCCTCTGCGCTGCGGAATCAGAGATGTGCTCTCCCCCAGAGTGAGTGGAAGAGAAACCAGACCTGGCAAGCTGTGAAGCCAGCTGGCCTCCCCCACACGGGGCACATGGGCAGGCCACACTCATGGTTTTAATTTAAGAGCAGAGAACATGACATGTAATACACACCAAACCCAAGACTTCACGTCCAGCCTGTGGGCAGTTGAGAGACAGCGGTGTGCATGGGGGGCAGGGGGGGAAGCGTGTAAGGAAGGGGGGCGTGGCACAGGAGGCAGAGGCTGAAGATGAAGGCTCAGAGGGACAGGGTGAAAGAACAGAGTCCCAGTGTGGGGCTAGGGGGCACCAGCTCCGAGGACATCAGGGAGGTTGTGCTCCAGGGGATTCAGAATGTTCAGGCCCTGGGATAATACAGAGCTGGATTGGGGCCAAGTGTGGGGCTCTCACTGCTCATTAGCAAGGCTTTCTGGAACTATCCGGGCTGGGCGTCTGCAGTGAGTAGAAGGGTTTCCAGAACTTACCTTGGGACCCTGGATTCCCTGAAGGCCCTGGAGGAGGAGGAGAGTGGTCACAAAGGCTTATAGGCCACTCACTGGCCCCGCGGCCCTGACCTCTGCAGACTCCCAAGCCCAGACCCAGGCTCTCCCATTATTGCTTGATGTGCCCCCTCCCCACCGGAAACCCTGTCCTCCCCTGGGTCACAGCTCCAGGCCTGGGCTCACCACCCCCTGCACACCTCCGCTACTTCATGCCAGATGTTCTTACCATGGGGCCTGGGGGCCCAGGGGGGCCGGGGGGCCCTGGCGCCACTATGATCTGGGCCTAGGAAGCAGTCAGAGATGGGTTAGTCACTCCCGCCCCAACATACCTCACTTGCTCATGCTTGAACGCACTGGACATCAGATGAGCACTCCTGTGGGGGTGGTGCTGGGCCCTGAGCCACTGGGCTGAGTCTCTCCAGAAGGGCACTGCCTGGTGGGGGGCCCAGGGGCTGGGCTTTGGGGTTCTCAGATGGGCCTCAGTTGGAGGACACAGCCCGAGGTGCCCCCTTCCCCCTCCCTCACTGCCTTGGGTTTGGTCAGGCCAGGTGGCCTTTCTGTCCCAAGATTCGGGGCCCCTGGGCCGGGCATTGAGGGGAGACCCTGGTCCTCAGCAGCCCCCCTTACCAGGCTCTCTCGTAGGCTGTCAGATGCCGACTCTCCCTTCTCGCCCTTGGGACCGTCAGTGCCCTGCAGGACAGCCTGGCCTTCAGCCCTTTCTGCCCATCACCAGACCTACCACCCACCTTCAGCCCTTTCTGCCCATCACCAGACCTACCACCACAGACCTACCAGTACCTCCCCTGCCTTCCCCATGAGGCCACCAGCAGCAGCGATGCGTTGGCATTTGCAGCTTGAAGCAGTTTTCCCTAAATTGGTGACACGCTCTGGGTGCCCAGAAAGTGGGTGTTTGGAGAGCACATTGACAGCGGTATAAATTGTCTCCTGGGCGGCAGGGGGGCACACAGCTCTCTAGCTGAGGGAGCCCCGTGGATGTACATCAGATGCGAAGAGGGGGCACCTGCTGGCCGCTTGAACCCACAGCTCTTTCTGTTCAGCCACAGTGACCATCACAGTGGGTATTTTATCACATGGCCAGCCACCACTCTCAGCCCTGTCGGGCAGGCCCTCGTGACTGGGAGGAGGTTATCATCCCCATTTTAGAGGTGGGGAAACCAAGGCCCAGGGAGGTCAGGAGACTCGTGCAGGCTTCCAGAGCCAGCAGGGGACAGAGCAGGATGAAAACTTGAGCAGTCAGGGTGGGCTCTAACCACCCCTTTGTTCCACCTTTGCGGAGGCCTTGGGAGGTAGGCGGTAGGTCCCTATACGGAGGCTCAGAAGTCCAAGCAGCAAGGGCTGAGTCTGAGCTTTCTTTGCAAGGCTTGGCGCCCCTGGGCCGGGTGGAGTTGGCAGCGCCCCAGCAGTGCCCCCCTCCCCCGCGGCTGCTGTCGTGGGCACACATTGGCCCTGGAACCCCACAGGGGGGCAGAGTAGGGCGGGGCCCATGCAGCCACCTACCGGGAGGCCCGACAGGCCCATCTCGCCCACCTCCCCTTTGGGTCCGGTCGGCCCAGCCTCTCCCGGGTCTCCTTTGGCTCCTTTGGGACCCTGTGAGCCACAAGAACAAGGGGTCGGTGGAACTCAGCAGTTCTCTCTTCCCCCACCCCAGAGGGTCCCCAGAGCTTAGTCCTGGCCAGGCCAGACCCCCATCCCCATGTCTTCATCCTGGATCCCTGCCTCTGGCCCAGGCGGTGAATGCACCGAGGGGCCTGGATGAAGGCAGGGGTGTAGGGCAGGCCAGCAGGTGGGAGGGGTGGGGGGAGTGGGACCGGGCAGCCCCTGCGGGGGCCCTTACAGAGCTTGGGGGGGTCAACCCTGCGCTCGCATCTCAGGAGATGGCAGTGGGAGCCCCCAACCCCCATGTACAACCAACCATCCACCCAGTGCCCCTTCCGGCCACTCATTCCCTCTCTCAGCCAATCACGGAACGTCCAAGATGCGGCCCTAAAGCCACGGCCATGAATGTCCAGTGATGTCCCTGACACTGTGCTGTGTGTGGGGGGGACACACAGGTGTGTACTTACAGCAATACTCATAGGACCCAGAGTAACGGGAACATTAGCTAGCATTTGAAGACTCTTCCCTAGATTGTGCCCCGCGCACTGCTCTAAGTGTTTTCCACACACAATTATGTAAGTCTTACAACTGTGACCATCCTCCCCTCCAGGTGAGGATCTGAGGCTGCCAGGCAATGAGCAGCTTGCCCGAGGCCTAAGGGCAGAACCAGGACAGGTGCCCAGGCAGCGCACTCTGTCCTGTGGCCTCTAACTCTGCACACACACACGCACACACACACGTATGCATGCACACACATACACACACACAGCCCACTACTAGGGACCAGGATCACCAAGCAAACGAAAGGCCCAGAGACCTTCTCTCCGTCGATTCCCGGGGCACCAGGCAACCCCAGCTCACCCTAGAAGGGAACAGAAAGCAAGGGAGGTTACGGTGTCCCGTGGTTCCCAAGAGGGCCTTGTGGCTGGGCTGCCTCCCCTCCCTGATCAGCACGACATCCCTGGGTTGGATCCCTAAAGTGGGTGGGGTCTAGGAAGGTGCCCACTGGGTGCCCAGCACCCTCCTCAGCTCCTCCGGGCAGATGCAGACCAGGGCTATAATTTACAGTCTGGGAGTTTACAGCTTGGGAAACTGAGGCTCAGGGGGGATCCAATGACTCGTTGCAGGCCACACAGCCCAGGGCGATGGCCGGGACCAGATCTTGCGATTTCCACGTCTCCTAAGCCACCTGGGCAGGCGGTAAACGATGTGTACGGGCCATAAGAATGGCTATGTCTGTCATCTATGGGACCTGGGGACGTCCTGAGGGCTTATGCGTGCGACTGGGGCTTCCAGGGAGGAGCTAGGGCCGGGAGCAAGGCATCCAGCTTGGTTAGGAAGGAGCGGGGCCACGTTCTCTGAGCCCCCAGGAGCCGGGCTGGGATGCCAGGAGAGAAGAGGGGTGAGCATGGCAGAGAGCATGGCGCTGGAGTTAAGGGGCTTGGAGGGGACCACACAACAGGCCCGTGAACTCACCTTGGCTCCGGGGATCCCAGGTGGCCCTGGGGGCCCCTGTGGCCCGGGAGGACCCTGTATGTGAAAGTCAAGCTGGTCAGTGTTTACGTGGGTCTTCCCCCGCATTGCTGGCTCACCCCTTCCCCCCAGGGGCCAGGGCTCCGTCGGGCTGGCCTGCAACAGGTCGAGGGCCCTCATAGCCTGCTTCCCACCCAGTCCCCCAACTCTTGTCTTGCAGCTCGGGGGGGGGAGGGGCAGGGAGGTGGCACCAGGGACCGGGTGGGATACCACGGTGTCCACTGCCACAGTGAGTCCAGAATCCCCCTACCTTCAGAGCTAGTATCCCCCAAATATAGATTTCTTCACAACACGCCCCTGCTCAAGATCCTGCGATGGCTCCCTATGGCCTCTTGCAGCAAACACATATCCCCCGTTGGCATTCAAGGCTAGCTAAAAATGTTAACCCTGACGGTGGCCCAGCACTGCTCTCTGTGTCCCTCCTGTGAGCTCTCTGTCCATCGGCTCTGCTGCCCGCTGTCTGCTAGTGCTGGAGAGTCCTGGGTAAGGGATGGCACCTGCAGCGTCTCTAGGTCTGACCCCGCTCCCAGGCTTCCCACAGACCACCTGCCCACCGTGGTTCATCGTCGCCCTCCAGACTCGTGCCCCCTCCTCAAGCCTGCACCCGGCCCAGCCCCTCCTCCCAGCGACCTGTGCCCTCCTTGCTGGCACCTCCATGGAGACATCTCTGGTCTTCCTATCTTCCTCCATCCCCCCACCCAGGCCCAGAGCCCACCCCCACCCCGCCATGGCCTCCTTGCCTCCAGTTGCCCCCACACCCACTTTTATTCACCTTCCATGTCATTCCTCAGCTAGCCTGCCCACAATATGTATGTGTATATATATATTTTAAAGATTTTATTTATTTATCTGACAGTGAGAGAGAGAAAGAGAGAGAGACAGAGTGCGCGCACAAGCAGGGGAGGGGCAGAGGGAAAGGGAGAAGCAGGGAGCCTGACTCAGGGATCGATCCCAGGACCCTGAGATCATGACCTGAGCTGAAGGCAGACGCTTAACCGACAGAGCCACCCAGACACCCCACAATATGTATTGTGAGCCCCACTTCCTGGATCAAGAACCAACGGTGGCAGCCCACTGCCCATCTGCTGGAGGCATCATTCCAGTCTGGCATCCAGAATCTTCCTCCCACCTCCCTGCACTCAGGCTGCTTCTCCAAGCGGGGCCTGGACACACCATGCCTGTGCATGCCCTTGGGCCATGCCATGCCACACCACGCCACACCACACCGTGCAGGCCTGGGGTGGGCCACAGTTACCATCAGCTTGAACTTCCCCGAGGCCTGTGGGAGAGAGCTGGAATGGAGCTCAGGTGGGGTCAGGTGCCAAGAGCCCAGTCTGGTCTCTGATGCCTGCCCCTCGTCCTCCCGAGCTCCCTTCCCTGGGAACCGTGAGTGGCTGGTACCCAACCTCTCTCCCCATGGGGGATGGGTCCCAAGTCTGTCGGCCCCTAGGCAGGGCTCAGCGGCCGTGCATCTCCTGAGGCTCCTTGGGGGCAGATCTGGCCGCTGTCACCCCCCCCCCCATGGCCAACAGCTACTAGAAGACCTAGCCCTCCAGTCTGTGTTCCCCGGGAAGGTGCCAGGAGGTCCTGCGGAGACCGGACATCAGGAAAGACTCTGCCTCCTGCCCGTGAACGGGGAGCTTCCCTTTTTGCTTTGGCCTCTGGGGATCTTGGGGCCACATAAGCCCTATTCACGGCAGCTCTTAGCATCCATGGGGGCGCTCAACATAGCCCTGATTTCCTTATTGGGGGGCACCTGGCGAAGCTGAGGTCTTTGTGCTAAGCTGCCCCCCCCCTTGTGTAAAGAAATGCAGGATTGATATGCAAAGTATGTGGTTGTCTTCTTAGGAAAAGAACCAGGATTTATCCTGGTCCTGCCGGGAAACTACCTTAAGGGCATCCAGGATCCTGCCATCGTAGTCAATCACCACTGTGTCTCCTTGCTCACCCTTGAGGCCCTGGGGACCCTGAAGCAGAGGAAGAGAGGAAGAGGAAGAATTTCAGGGCAGAGCCTGGGCAGCTGCGTCTGTGTCTCAACCAGGGACCCTAGGAAACTGACCCCCACGAAGGAAGGTCCGTGTGCCATGTGCCGGCTCAGCTGTAACCCGATGGGACCCCCGTGAGCTCATCCTCCGGTATCTACGTGGCCACTGGCACCCCAGTCCCCGAGAGAACGTTCCAGGGCTCAGGCAGCAGGCATCCCGGAGGAAAGGGGGTAGGGGGCCCTGGAGCCAACGGAGGGACCTGCCCGTGCCTGGTCTGGCTGCCTTTTGCGTGGGACTTGAAGTCCGCTGAGGTCTTAACCCGGAGTTCTCCGATTTTTAATCTCTTACGATTTTTAAACGTCGGCCAACAAAGGCGCAAAAATCCACACACTCCCCCAAACGCCCAGACACCGTGTAGGCCAAGTGCAATCTTGGCCTCGTGCCTCTGACTTCCAAGCTCTGGTCGAGGGTGTGCGCGCCACGCACTCGCAACGAGCACAAGTCCACCCGGGCCCGCACGCTCGGTCCGCGAACGCACGTGTCCCCGCCCACACGTGCTCGGCTGCCGGCTCCGCCCACCTGTCCCCGCCCACACGTGCTCGGCTGCCGGCCCCGCCCACCTGTCCCCGCCCACACGTGCTCGGCTGCCGGCCCCGCCCTTCTTCTCCGAGCCCCAGGGTGCGGGGCCCACCGTGAGGGGCGGGCAGCGCTCTGGTCAGGCCTGGGGCCAGAGACCCGGGCCGGGGCCTCACCTGCCAGAAGCCTCCTCGGTCATGGTCACACAGAATGCCACAGCCAGTACCTCATCCAGCCCCGGCCACCTGCGTGGCCTTTTTTCGGAGGAGAAAAGCAGCCTCCGGGAGCATGAGGGCACCCAGCAGAGAAAAGAGGATCCCGGATGTTGACTTAAAAAGGTGGGTTGATAGCGGCTGGTCACAAAAGGTCACAAAAGATCGGAGACCAGCCGGGAGGCTGTGCGTCTGGAGACAGGAGCGAACCTCAGGGTGGGGCAAGGCCCCCCCGAGGGGGGGGGGTTTCCCCCCCCCAGGTGGCGCATTGGAGGTCTGTGCTTGAATATGAGAAGACAAGACTCGGGGAGGGCTAACACTCACCTGGGGAGGCCTCGCCTTCGCACATGTGTATTTGAATGTTTTACGAAAAGCAGGTATTGTGAGATTAAAAAAAAAAATTTTTTTTTTTTTAAATCGCTAATGAATGATTATTAAAAAAACGACTCCCATTTCCCGGGGCTCGACTGCTCCTCTGGGACCTCCCCGGGGGATGGGGCCTTCTGAAGAACCCGGCCCGTGGGTCCCCTCGGTGTGGCCAGAGGGGAGACTCGCTTACCCGCAGTCCGGAGACTCCATCGGCGCCTCGCGGGCCAGGCTCTCCCTGTGGAGACGTGAGGTTGCAGCCACGTGCGCATGGCCGCCCCACGCCCCTCCAGTCGCCAGGTCACCAAAAAGCGCAGGGCCCACGTGCTGGAGCCCCAAGGGACCAATGTACGCGGCCGGCACCCCAGGAAGAGGGCTCCTGGAAGGAGGGCCTGTGGGCGCCTCCCTGGCCCCACGGTGTGTAGAGATGGGCCACCGAGGGAGACCCTGGCTCCCCTGGCTCCAAGGTGATTTAGCCACATGGCTGAGCTTGGTGGAGGCTTGTCACTCACCCAAACCCGTGGCCATACCCCCTGGCCAGCTCTGACTGCCTGTGGAACGAGACCCCCAGGCCCATGCCCTCCCGGGACTTTCACCCCAGGATGGGGGCACTGGTCTGAGCCGCGCACTGTAAGGCACCTTTGGCCCTGGGGCGCCGTCCACACCATTTTCTCCTCGAGGCCCCGCGTTCCCGGGCTCACCCTGTAACAGAGACATTCACGGCTGAGTGAGGGCCAGGGGCAGGCTGGGGGCCGCCTGGGCCTGCTGGCTTTGAGAGCTTCCTGGGGAACACGGCGGAGCCCCCCTGGGGTTGAGAGGAGGTGGGCCTCAGGACTCCCCCCAGCCCTGGGGACTCCGGAGCACGCCACCCTCTCTGGTCTGGGTCTTGGTGCTTAGTTAGGGCCTCTCAGGGGCTCTGGAGATATTTTGGAGGCAGGATGGTGGTCTCCACGGCCTGGGGGAGCAAGGATGATACCCTGGTCCTAGCTGGGAGACAGGATAGAGTGGGGGCCCCCTGAGATGGGAACTAGGAGGGCCTGAGGGTGTGCAGGGAGGCAAATGGCTGGATGGGATGCCCCGCCCGGTGTCAAGTGGGGCCCGGGGCCTCCCCCAGTCTCTCTCTGGCCTGCCCTGGGCGTCAGCACGTGCCCCCCTCCCCCATTGTGAAAGGGTCAGCCGGGGGCCGCACCAGACCGATGGGAACCGAGGGAGGTGTGAGGCAGGGGGCCCTGTGGGGGAGGCACAGGTACCTACCTTGGGGCCTGGGGGTCCAGGGAGCCCTGGCTGGCTTGGTGTCCCGTCATCCCCCTGAGGAGAGAGCAGTTGAGGTGCAGCCCTCAGGCCTGGGCAGACCCACTTTGGCTGTCTCCCCCCCCCACCGCCCCACCAGCCCTCTGCTGGTACCAGCCCTGGTCACACGGGGTGGGGACAGGGGTGGGGCAGGTCCCCTGGGGCCAGCCCAGAGCACGCGTCAGCAGGGGTGCACCGAAGGAAGGGGTGGGCAGGTGCAGGGGAGGGCATTCGTTCCTTTCAGTCAACACATAGCTTGTGAGCACCGTGAGCACTGTCTGTGGGCCAGGCGGGTGGGGTCCCTGCTCAGTGGGGGAGACAGGGGCTTGAGGGCAAAGGAATGTCCAGATAAACACCTAGAGCCAGGTCAGGAGGTAGAAGCAGTGCTGGGAAGAGTGTAAGAGGGTGGCAGGATGGAGGGACTCAGAGGGATGGTCACCTGGGAGAGGGGACAGCTTTTTGGAGACCTGGCAAGGGATGGGGTGGGGGAAGATCACCCCAGGTCAGTGGTTCCCAAATTTGAGTGCATGCCACCATCACCCCAGGGGGGCTGCTGAACAGACCATGGCTACAAGTTCTGGTCACCAGGGGGACGCCTGGGTGGCTCAGTCAGTTAAGCGTCTGCCTTGGGCTCAGGTCATGATCCCGGGGTCCTGAGATCAAGTCCCGCATCGGGCTCCCTGCTCCGCTGGGAGCCTACTTCTCCCTATTCCTCTGCCCCTCCCCACTGCTCGTGCTCTGTGTGTGTGTGTGTCAAATAGATAAAAAAAAAAAAATCTTTTAAAAAATAAACAACAAAAAAATAAAAGTTGGGTCACCAATTCTGATGGGCGCGGGGTGTGTCCATACCCCCAAGCGATTCCCTACCACCAGCCAGGCATCCTACAATTCAACCCAATTCTGATACCTGTCTACCTGGAGAGAACGTCGGATCCCACGGGTTAAGGGCCCAGTCCTACAAGACTGCCCCAGCCCCCCAGCCCACTCCAGGCACCAGGAGTAAGCCGGCTCTCACTTGTGTTACAGATCGACCCACCACAGACTGAAGATTCCCACCACCTCGTCCTTGGGTTCCATTAACTTGCTAGAGCGGCTCACAGAACTCAGGGAAACACTCTCCTTATTAGATTCCCAGTTTATTATAAAGGACAGAACTCAAGAACAGCCAGATGGAAGAGATGCAGCGGGCAAGGTATGGGAAAGGGGGTAGGAGAGTCCGTGACCTCTCCAGGCGTGCTGCTCTCCCCAAATCACCCTGTGTTCACCCACCCAGATGCTCTCACAACCCCATCCTTTTGGGTTTTTATGGAGGCTTCATTCCATAGGTGTGAGTGATGAAATCACTGGCCACTGGTGAGATTGGTTCACCCTCCAGCCCCTCCCTGGCAGGCTGGTGACCAGGACTGAAAGTTCCAACCCCCCAATCATGTGGTTGTTTCTCCAGGCAACGAGCCCAAAGTCGCCTCATTAACATAACAATAGACACCTTCAAATCAGGTTCATCACTCAGGACATTCCAAGGGTTTTAGGAGCTGTTCCAAAAACCAGAGGACTGAGACCAAATATGGATTTATTATAAATTACAACATCCCAGGGGCCCACCCCTAGTGTCTCTGACTAGGTGGCTCTGAGGTCGGCCCCCAAACGTGCCCGTCTAAAGCCCCCAGCGATGCTGATACTAGCTGGTCCCAGGAACATACTCTGAGAACCACTGTCCAGAGCCCTGAAGTGGGAATAAATTTGCTGTGTTTGTGGAAAGGAAAGAATGGACGAATAAGTAGTGAATGAATGAAATCGGGCTTCAGAGACGGACGGAGCAGTCATCCACAGTGAGGGCTTGGGTCTGGTGAGGACTTCCCTGTGGCTGGCCCCCGGCCCTGGCCCATGGGGAGCTCCTGCCCATCTCCCCAGCCACTTCCCACACCCCCACCAAGAAGCCCCTCCTGGGGGCCCCCCCTCACCTTCTTTCCAGGAATGCCGGGCTCACCCTGAGGAGGGAGGCAGGGGGGGTTCAAGAGAGAGATCAGAGCCTGGCCCAGACACCAGGCCACCCGCTGTGGTAGAAGTGGCCTCGATGACCGGGTACAGCCCAGAGACCCCGGCCCCCCAGAGAGGTGCACATGGATGGTGGGTGGGGCTGACAGTCCTGGACTCCACCCCTGACCGTGCCCCCCCCCACGCTGAATGACCCTGGGCAAGTCACTGCTCTTGCAAATGGGGATGTGACGTCCCAGCCTCCAGGGGGTGTTTCTGAGATGAGGGAGAAAGCAAGGAAAGCCCTTCTCCTTTGGGGCAGACCCCAGCTCCACCCCCCCACCCCAGCAGGCAGAGAAGAAAAGGAAGAGCTGACCTGTGGGGTGGGGGAGGTGAGGGGAGCCCATCCCTCCCAGGCCTGGGGCAGGGGACAGGGAGTGAGGAGCACTCACCTTGGGCCCTGGGGGTCCCTTCAGGCCCTGGACCAAGAGAAGAGAAAGTATTAAATGGGGTACTGGAGGCTGCTTCTGGGCCGCCACCTCCTCTTCATTGTACAAAGGGTGACACCAGGTGCCAGAGGCCAGGCCTCCCCAGATGCCCTGGATACTGACCATCTCGCCGTCCCGTCCAGTCTCTCCTTTGGGACCCTGAGGAGGCAGAAGAGGAGAGCCTCTTGAGGGGACGCAGGGCTCCCCGGTTAACAGAGCCCACTCGCCGCGCCAGGCCCTGGGTTGGGGGGTTGCAAGCAGTCTCTCGTGTCATGAGTTCTTGTTCCCACTTTGCAGATGAGAATGTTGAGGCTCAAGGAGTTAGGTGCCCAATGTGAATAGGAATGGATGGGCCATCTGAGTAGCTGGCTGCCCTGAGAGGCAGTTTGGTGGCAGTCTGGTGGCAGAGCTGGCTCTGCATGGGATGGGAAGGACAGCCCTGAGTCCCTGCGGTAGGGGAAGGGGTAGTACCACGGAGTCTGGTCTCTAGGCTCTGGATAGAACTATAGGAGGACAACTGAGCCTAACTAGTTAGTACTGGAGGGAGGGAGGGAAGGAGGGGGGAGAGAGAGCCAGAGCTGGGGGGGGCGTAAAATCTGGGGGGGAAGCGCCCCCATATGGGTTTCAGGGTCAGGGTTAGGACTGCGACTGAAATTGCAACCAAGGTCAGGTTTAGGGTCTCTGGTTGTATTTGGGGTTAGGGTGGAGGGTAAGCGTTGGGTTTGGAGTCAGGTCAGAGTGCAGGGGTCAGAGGTAGAGTCTGGATAATAGCCAGAAATGAGGGTGTGGACCAGGATTTGGGAATGAGTTTGGGGGTCAAGGTCTTATTTATTTATTTATTTATTTTTATTTTTTTTTAAAGATTTTATTTATTTATTTGAGAGAGACAATGAGATAGAGCATGAGAGGGGGGAGGTTCAGAGGGAGAAGCAGACTCCCCGCCGAGCAGGGAGCCCGATGCGGGACTCGATCCCGGGACTCCAGGATCATGACCCGAGCCGAAGGCAGTCGCCCAACCAACTGAGCCGCCCAGGCGCCCGAGGTCAAGGTCTTAAACGGCATGAGGTATAAGGCTGGCGTGTGGCAGGCGTCTGGGTTGGGGCTGGGGTTGGGGTGCGGCATGGGTCTGGGTCTGGACTGGGGACAGGGGTATTCCACCTCTGTGCCCTCTCTTACCGCCGGGCCTTCTGCTCCCCTGGGGCCATCTTTCCCTGTGTCTCCAGGAGGGCCCCGGGCCCCAGGGGGTCCAGGGGGCCCCGGAGGCCCAGCAGCTCCATCTCGTCCTTGGTCTCCCTGGAAGAGATGGGGCCTGGCTTACCGTGAGGGCGAGGGAAGGGGCTCTGGTCTCCAGAGAGGAGCCTCCGCAGACGGACGGCCCGATGCCTTCCCTTCCCCAGCCCTTGGTGGGCTCAGAGCAGAGTGTTTGGTTCCTGGGCTTCTCGCTGCTTCTTGGCGGCCGCAGGAAGGGACAGGTCCCTGTACTTTGGCATAAAAGGCTAACAGGACCTTCTACACTCCAAGGGATGTGCCATCTTCTCAGCCCTTCGTGCCCGGAGCCCAGCTCTGGTGTTTCGTTGAGAGATGAGACATGTTGGGTGCGGGAGCGAAGCATGTGGGCCCCACCAGCCCCCTTCTTCCTGGAAAGGGGGCGGCACACGTCCTGAAGGACCCTCCTCGTTGGTCAGCTCCTACTTTATTTGGTGCTGGAGGTGCGCTTCTGGGCACTTACCCAGAGAGATGAAAACTCACGCGAATGCTCACAGCCACTCTTAGGTGTAACGGCCCCAAACTAGAAGCAACCCAAATTGTCCTTCCGTGGGTGGATGGTTAAGGGACGGGGCTACAGCCCTGTCACGGAGCACTGCTTGGCAATAAATGGAAAGGAACAAGGAGGCACAGCCACATTGCAATGGCATGGATGCATCTCGAGGGAATGTTGCTGAGTGAGAAAAGCCGATCTTACAAGGTGACCATACCCTATGGCTGACCATACCACGCGGCTGACACGGAAAGATCACAGAGATGGAGCATGGGTCAGTGGCTGCCCGGGGCGGGCGTAGGGATGGGGCGACTGTAGCAGCGCGAGGGATCTGCGTGCGGTGGTCACTGGAATCTCCTGAGCGTGATCACGTCGCCCAGACTTAAGCACACCCAGACGGGCAAAATGGCTGAGCTCCAAATGAGGCAGGTGGATTGTGCCAATTTCCTGGTGGTGAGATTACTCCGGGGAAGGCAGGATGTCACCATCCGGGGAACGTGGAGGGCAGGTGCACGGGGTATCATTTCTTACAACTAATTGTGAACCTACAGTTATCTCAAGATAAAAAGTTGAAAAAAAAAAAGAGAGAGAGAGAGCAACGAAGGGCCACAAAGTCTCAGTCATGCAGCATCCTGTCCCCGACTCAAGGACCCGGTGTTAGTACGGGGTCAGACCTCAGGCAGCCGGAGCCCTCACCTCCTGGCCCCAGCTGCGAGGACGGGGGTGGGGGGGCCACGGTGCCACCGGTGCTTTCTGCAGCCCCCGTGGTTCCCGCCCAGCACTGCCGCTGGGCATAGTCATGGGGCTCGGCTGGCTCACCACGACAGCAGTCCCCAAACTTCCCGTGGCCAGGAAAGGAGGAAGCCTCTTGTGGAGGTAGCCCCCGCTGTGTGCCCAGCACTGACCTCCCCGGAAGCTGGCTCGCCCAACCCTTGTGACCACCCGGCCAAGGCCCTGCTATGGACCCATTTTACAGATGGAGTGGTCGGGACCAGAGAGGGTAACTGTCGCCCCAGGGTTACAGAGCTAAGAAAGGCAGCACCTCTTCTGGCCAGTGAGGCAAGCGATGCCTTTTGGACGCATTTTTTATCCCTGGATCCCATGATGTGAAGGTTCGCCTTTCTGGCCAACTGGACTTTCAGACACGGTTCATTTGTTTCCCCCAATTAAAGAATTAACTGAGGCTCTCAGTGTCCACCACTCAGGGTCCCAATGCAGAGGCCATGCCTCCAGTCTGAAGTAAAGAAAACCGACAGTTTGGTTAGCTCGCCCAGGCGCGGGTGGGGATGGTGGTGGGTAATTCCTGTTCCATTTGATGCTGTGTCAGGAAGACTTGGAAGATACCCCATCCCCCGCTGTTCCCTCCACAGCCCAGGGGCCCCACGAGGGGCACCACTGGCCGGACTCTACTTAATGAGGAGGAAAATGGGTTTCGACACTTGAGCAGGCCCCAGCAGAGGTTTGTTGGCTCTGGCCTTGAGTGACCCGGGACACGAGGCTGGCCCTGTCTGCACGCTGGGATCGGCTGGCTGAGGTCTAACCCTGGAAATGCAGGGGTGAGTCAAGGGAGCACGCAAACCAGCAGGCCCGGACACGCCACGGGGCCAGGCTACCTTGAAGACGCGGCGACTGTACCCGTGATGGTCTCTACTTATAAAGCCTGGATTGAGCCGTGGGAAAACCATCTGGCCAGCAAACAGGTTGTGTGGTCAGGAAGGCAGAAAGGGCCAGCAACCGGGAGAGGCAGACGACGTTCTCCAAAGGTGGCCACTATGCTCGTTCCCATCCCACAGGCCCCTTGCAATGGGGTCCCACCCACCAGGCCCCATCGAGAGCTGGAGGCCTGTTCCTCTCTCCCCACCTTGACTTTGGACGGGCCCCGTGAACGGACAGGATGCCGCAGAAGTAAGGCCTGGCAGGCTCTTAACTGGCCGGGCAGGTACGCTTCCAGCCTCCTGGAATGCTAGTCTTGGGATGCCCCTCTGCGAGGCCCAGCGCCACGCGGGGAGAAGCCCAGATGCACAGAGATACCCCCGAGCCGAGCTCCCAGCCAACAGCCGCACCGACCGAGGCCGAGGGAGGGTGCCATTGTCTTGGGCTGCAGGCCCAGCAGCCTCTGCCTTCGATGAGCGAGATCCCCCCACCAGCCCACGGGGTCGTGAGGGACAGTGACATGTTGCTGATTTAAGCCCCGGAACTCCCAAGGACGGAGGTTGTTTCGGAGGTGGCTGGAAACGTGGGACAATGAGAGCACACCCATGAAGGGTGGAGGGAGGGCTTTGGAAAGGATCTCTCGTGACTCCCGGGCTGGGGGAGTTCTAGTCTGTTGAGGCGTGGGCACCCCCTTTTCAGAAGATCAGCATGGCCAGCCCGGGGCTCTCAGCTCCTGCTCGTGACCATCTGTGATGTGGGCCCTGCCGGCCTGGTGCACAGAGCAGGCTCGGAGCTGTGAGGCTGCAGAGCTGGGACTGGGACCGTGCCCATACCTGGTCCTGCAGCTGCTTTCCCTTCCCATCCCCCATCCACAGTGCCCACCTCTCACCCCTGCTCCATCCCCTGCCTCTAGGGCTTACAGATGCTGGCTGGGGGGGACTCGCTCACCCGCTACAGTTTCCACGCCATAACCTTCTTGAAAACCCCTGGGAGCACACCCCTCTAGTGCAGTCAGGCCTCCACCCCAGTGGTGTTAGGAATTGTGCTGGCACGCCTTTGGGCCCCCTTACGTGACCCTCTCTCTGCCCAGATCTGCTTTGTGGGGCTCTGCACTCTGCTTCGTTGAAGAGGCCCCAGGTTTGGCATGAGGCCCTTCTGGGTCCCTTGGGCCCTGCGGGCACTGAGGGCCAGGGGATCTACTGTCCCCATGCTGGGTGCTGGCTGCCCACCTTTATGACTGCAATGAACCTTTGCCACAGCAGCTTGGGTCAGGGGCTGTCAATCCCACCCACCACAGTTGGAGAAACTGAGTCACAGAGGGGAAACTGAGTTGCTCAAAGTTACCTGGCTGGTAAGTGGCTGAGCTCAGCTGCTGACCCATAACCTTCCCTCCTTCTGGGGTCCCAGCCACCCTCAGGAAGGTTAGTCTCGGGTCTGGGGCCAGCGCCAGCCCCGCTGTCTCCCCCGCCCCCCATCCATGGTGACAAGTAGGACTGGGAGGAAGCCCTGGGACTTCCAGCCCGTGGCCACTTAAGTGAAACCACACAGAAGGACAGATGGTGGGCAGTGGGCAGTGGGCAGAGACTGTGGGCCCGTGCGGTAAGGTGTAGGGACCCGGAAGAAACGCTAGATACGCCTTACTATATGATAACACAAACTGTGTGGGGCGGGTGAGGGGGTCTTGCGTCAGCTCTTACCCGAGGGCCAAGGTCTCCGGGTGCACCCTGAGGACAAGAAGCAGGAAGACAGATCAATGCTACTATTATTACTTTATCATACGTATTGAGCATTTACTCTGTGCCCCGTGCTTTGCACACGTGTGAGCTGCACACGTGTTATACGTGGGGTAGTCTCACCCAAGTCTAACAAACATAACACGTGGGCTCTGTTTTTAATCTCCATTTCCAATGAGGAAACCAAGGCACAGAGAGGCTAAGTAACCAGCCCAAGGTCACACAGCCAGCACACGCAGGGCTTGGAACCAGGTGCCGTGTTGTCTGGGGCCAGCCTCTAGACACAGCGGAGCAGAGACGAGCTGCTCGCACCGTGTCCTCTTGGAATCCTGGAACCTCGACACCGTGAGGGCTGGAAATTACTTGATTGTTTAAGTCACCAACTTTTGGGGCAGGATGTTACCAAGTGACGGATGCCAAGATGCCAAATTCTCTCTGGGTTCAAAGCCTCTGCTTTGTTCAGCCGGAGCCAATGAGAAGGAAGTCTCTGTGAGGTTGCTTTAACTGACAGATGGAGAAACTGAGGCCCACGGAGCCGGCCAACCCATCGAAAGCCATGCAGTTGGTGGTGGAGCCCTAACGCAAACCTGGATGCTCTGAGCCCCGGATCCTGTACCCGGCCGGCACAGCTCTGAGGGTGGATGGGGACCCTGGCCGCCCTTACTTACCTCAGTGGGCACATCAGAGCGGGGGCTGGGGTGGACGTGGCCGGCGTTCGCCTAGCCCTTCCCTAGAAGCGTCCTGCCACACCTGCATCCGCTCTGGTCCCTCCCTAGCTCTGATCCCACAGTGGGACACATGGGTGGCCCCTCTCTCCCCCTCCCTTCCGCGGCACTTGGAGGTCCCAGCCCTCCAGGGGTCTGCCGTGACATTTCATGCCGAATGCCAGGGAAGCCTTTCTCACAAGGGGCTGTAAAGATCACAGGGGCAGCTCTCAGCCATCTGTTTGCCTGGGGTGGGGGGCATGCACTCCTTACAAAGAATACCATCTACAGTGACTGTTCAACTCCCCCACCCACCCGGCCAGGTTACCTGCGTTGGAAACTCCTTATTCTGGGAAGACTGTGCTTTGAGTTTTGTCTTTCTCCGGTGGAGGGTGGGACTCCAATGTCACCCCCTGGGCACTTGAAATTGTTAAACATAAGCCACGTAACCATTAGGAGGGAGGCCCTCTTAGCCGCACTTTCCAGATGGGGAAACTGAGGCTCCAGGAGGGGTGTGATGTGCCCGGGGTCACACTCCAGAGCTGGGGTTTGGGGGCAGGTTTCTGGCATCCTTCATCATATCCCCAACGAGACAGCTGCCAGCCTCACTTACCTTTTCCCCTTTCGGGCCTGGAAGTCCCTGTAGAAAAAAGGTGCAGAAAGACAGGCATGAGCGAGGAGGACTGGGCTGGCTCCCCTGCTGGCTTCCCTAAGGAGGTGGGGGCAGAAGGGCCTGTGAAGCTGAGCAGAGCTGTGGGTAGCTGGGTGGGGAAACATGTAAGTCTGTCTGCTTTTAATGAGGGTTGCCCTTGCCGGCCCCAAGGAAGCTCCACACACCAGTCCTCTGCGTGAGGGAGGCAGGGGACTTGAGGGTTGCCAGGACTTCTCAGCTGGGGTTAGGGGTGCATGTGCTGTCACTCCCCCCAGAGAGCAGAGCCCTCCCAGCTCAGCCCCTGCTGTGCCTGGCGGCCGCTGCCCCCTAACTGTCCATTATCCCTTCAGTCCATAATGGTTTTGCTGGTTCATTCACTTAACAACTTGTCTATCTAGGAGGTCAGTTCACTCCTCCATCCTCTAATACGGTACACATCATCTGGCAACACCGCAACACTTATTTCATTCCTTCCTCACTTCCTTGTCTGCTCAACCATCATGCATCCGACTGTTGGTACAATTATTGATTTATTACCTCATTTGACTATCTTTCTGTCCAGACATCCTTCCTTCCTTCCCACCCACCTATCCATCTGTTCATCAGCCCATTCATCTATCTATCCATCTGTCTATCCTTCCATCTAACCATTCATCAATCCATTTGCCCATCCATTCATCCATCCATCCATCCATCCATCCATCCATCCACCGTACCTTCCTTCCTTCCATCCATTCATGCATCCATGCATGCATCCATCCATACTTCCATCTATCCATTTATACATCCTACCTTCCATCCACTCACCCATCCATCTGTTCATCAACCCGTTCATCTATCCATCCATCCAACCATTCATTATCCAACTATTCATTATCCATCCATCCACCCACCCACCTACCTATACATCCAAATCCAACTATGTATGTAATTATGCCGTCTCCCTGAGCAGCTTATTCATTGTGCTGAAGATGCCTGTGGACCGCAGGCTCCTGCCCCAGATGTTGAGAACTCATCAGCCCGATGCCTACCACTGAAGTCTTGAGACTGTGTGGGGAGATGCTCTGTGCCTAGGGCTGGCTAGGAGGGGCTTGTTTGTTTTGAAGGCTGACTAGATGTCAGGGATGGTGCTATCCACACTTCTCCACATCCCCAGCGTGCTGGGCTGGGTAACGTGAGGAGGGTTAACAGACCCATTTGACAGAGCCTCAGGCTTGGGACGTGAAGGGGCCTCCCTAAGGCTGAATAGTCAGCAGGTAGTGAAACTGGATTTGAACTTCAGTCTGATGCCCAAATGACTTCTCTCCATGCTGAGCCAGGTTTCCAGTGGCCCCTTCCCTCTGGCACCCCACCATCACTTCCAGCCCCACAAATGGCCCAGTCCCAGGACCACTTAGAATTGCCCTGTCATCACTTACGGGCTTGCCATCCAGACCCAGTGGCCCCTGGAAATGAGAGAGACAGATAGCACAGGTTACACACCAGAAAGGCATTTCCTGTGTGTTTTATGACCCAGAGGCACTACTGAGTATCAGAGACCAAAACCTGGCATGAGCCCACGGTCTGAGTACATTTCACACGGACCTGGAGTGGAGGCATCCGGATCTTGCTGCCCAGAATCCCCTCCTCTGACAAGACAGCCCCTCTCCTTCTCCAGGACCACCCCCATCTGCACATATGGGGCTTAGGCATGTGGTCACATTCCCTCAACCAGAGTGAGTGGTTCAGGGCTGAGCATCATGTCTGGGACTTTGAATGGCGGCCCCTTTAGGAGAAAGAGGACTCTTTTCTCCTGATGGGGCTAAGGTGGAGCTCCTGCGGGTAGCAGGTGGCTTGAGGAAGAGCCAACAGAGAGGAAGTCAGAGTTGAGAGACAGAGAAAAACAGGGCAAGGGGTCTGAAGCTGAAATCACCCACCCTTGCACACTTCCATTTGTCCACGGTTTTTCTTTAAGCCAGTTCGAATTGAGTTCTGTACGTGTAAGTTGGCAGGGACTGAATGCGTCCTCCCCCCAAATGCATGTGTTGAAACCTAACCCCCAGTGTGATGGCGTTAGGAAGGGGGGCTTTTGGGAAGCGATTAGGTCATGAGGGTGGAGCCTCATGAATGGGGTGTCAGCCTATTTAGAAGAGAGGCTCCAGAGAGCTGCCTGCCTTTGTGTCCACCACAGGACACAGGAGATGGGCGCCTGCAGCCTGGAAGAGGGCCTCCACCAGAACCCGACCACGCCGGCACCCTGACCTCAGACCTCCAGCTTCCAGGACTGCCAGAAGTCGATTTCTGTTGTTTCTAAGCCACCCGGTCTGTGGTGCTTTGTTGGGGCAGCCCAAACAGGCTAAGACAGGACTGGAAGAGTCCTGAAGGCTCTCTGAGTTCCCAGCACTGCCGAAGTCAAGGTCAAGAGAAGCCAAATCTCCCAAGGCTGGGCCATCTCAGAGGCTCTGGGGGCTCCGTGGTGTCAGGGACTGCTGCCAAGCAGCCCCCACCGGCGCCCTCCGCCTGTCCAGCCTCTGCCCAGTCAGAGAGCCCCGCTGAGCTCCACCACCCGGTGGGAGTATACAAGAATCCAAGGGCAGTGCCACAAACCGGGTCCGTCCGTTCCCTGTCAACCCCCGTCCTCCTCCCTGCCACAGCCTCCTCATGCCCACAGACTCCGCAAACGGGCAGCTCCACTCTCCCGAGCCCGCGCACACACCGCCTGCCCGCTCGCACACCCTTCACCCCCTTGTGCGCCATCTTCAGCTCAGTCACCTCCTCCTCCACGAAGCCCTCCAGGCTCCTCCACTCCCCAGAGTCAGGCCATCTGCTGCTGCACCCAGCACATTTTCTAGGTGTCGCACATGACACCATGCTTTGTTACCGTGTGGTCTACACAAGTCTTCCAGTGGATCCAGGAAAAGGGTCTGATCCCCGTGTCGCCAGTGCTCGGATGAAGCCTGGCGCAGAGCGTGTGCCTCTCAATTTGTGTTGAGTCAAAGCAAGGAAAGGTAGCGAGAGAGACGAAGCGTGTGCAGATATACAGGGAATAAGACGGAAAGTTCAGGGGCAGGACAGACAAAGGGTTCTGCCAATTCTGAGCGGCATGACAGCCTGCCAGGCTCGGGGGGGGGTGGGTATTGGGAAAGATTAGGGAGCACTAGCCTGAGAAAGTAGTATTTGGGCATTTAGGGAGGGCACCATGCTCAGAGAGCACAGCCCAGAGGCAGAGGGCCTGTGGGCAGAGGGGCAGCTCTGCCTCGAATCACCCTCCCTCCCCTCCTGGTCTCTCTCACGTGGGTCTGTCCCTGTCACCGCGGAGACTGCGCTCCCCGGCCCAGCACTGGAGTCCTCTTGGCCAGGGCCAGCCTCTGCCTTGCGGTTGCCCTGTGTCCCTGGTCTTCCCAAGCTCTCTGCTTCTTTCCCATCTTCATGCCTTTGCATGGGCTGTTCCCCCTGCTTGCTGGGCCCTTCCCTGGCTCCTCCATCTGGGAGACACTCTCTGGCTCTGGGAAGCCAGTCTCTCCTCCCTCGGGTGTACACGCAGCCTGGGAGCCAGCAGCCCCTGGCCGCCGGGCCCAGCAGGGAATAGCCATTTCCCTGGCTCAGCCACCAGACCTCCCCAAGAACCAGCCAAGTCCCCAGATGCCCTAAGAGGGGCTACTCCTTGAGGCGCTCACACCAGGGCCTCGCTCCAGGCAGGAAACCAGGGCAATTCTGAAAATTTGTCCCTTAAGTGCCTCTAGCCATCAGCCTCAAGGTCGGCTCGAGGTCGGCTGAGGGTCTGGACCTCGGGGCAATGCCCTGGGGGCAGATGGAATCCCAGGAGATGGGGAGTGGGGTCATTCCAAAGTCTTGGGGGTCTCGGCTCTGGGGGTTCCTGGTCAGGTCCTCAGCCCCAGCCCCAGGCCCAGGCCTCGTTGCTGAGGCTCACCAGGAGCTGCCCTCGCTGGCCCATCTCCTGGCTGTTCTGACCCCTGATCCACATGCCTGAGGCCTCCCCCCCCCTTTGTCTGCTAATGCTGGGCCCTGCACCTCTTCTACTCCCCACACTCAGGCCCTGCTAGGCCTCACGGGGCCCAGTCCTACCCTGGGTCTCACCTGGGGGCTCTTCGTGGCCCCCATACTCAGTCTGAATCACCACAACAAGCCTGTAGGGCAGGTCTTATCATTCCTCTCTTACAGAGGAGTGGACTGAGGCCCAGGGAGGGAAGGCCTTGCCCCAGGCCAGGCAGCCAGTAACGAGGCAGGCCTGGAGCCCAGAAAGGCACTTCAGGTTTCCGACCTCTGGGCGCCAAGATTCCTGGCCACGCTCCCCCGTCTGCCCAAATCCGTCCTGCGGATGAAAAAGCCTGAGATGAAAAAGAGACGAAGGTGCAGCTGAAGCTAAAATAATCTCCTTCCCCTTCACCTGCTGGGAGGGAGGACACAGTGGGCCCCACGGCCAAGTCACTGGCAGCAAGGGGCCCCTGACAGGGCCTGGGACCCTGTGCGGGGCTGGTCTGAGGGAAGCGGGCACCCCTGCCCTTGGGGCCACAGAGGCAGAGACTCTACAGGGCAAGTCTACGAGTGCTCCAGTGCTCATCCACACGGACCCCACTGAACCGTGCCATACCCTGCACAGCCTCTGCTCTCACTGTCGCCCTGGGAGGCAGGCCCCAGGGCCCCATCTTGCAGATGAAGAAGCCGAGCTGGTGGGACTGCCCAAGGGCTAAAACAGGCTCTCCTCTCTACGCCGTGCTCCCTCCCCTGCAGCATAGGGCAGCACAGTTGACAAGTGGCGGCCCTGGGGGACCTAGGATGGAGCCTTGCAAGACTTGCCTGCCTTCTGGGATTCCTGGGATGTCTGTCTCCCCAGCTGAACAGACCGTCTCTGGGCAGGGCTCTCTGGGCCCTCTGTCACCCTAGCCCTCTAGCAGAGGGAGTGCTGTGTGGCTCTGGGACAGCCAGTCAACCTCTCTGAACCTCAGCATCCTCCTTACCAGCTCTCCCCAGCAGGGCTGTTCCTGCCTTAGGTTCGCCCCAGTTTTCCCCTAAACTCTGCCACACCACGGCCTCCTGGTGGCCCCTGGGATTTGGAGAGAGCTGCTCCAGAGGTCTCAGTGCTACATCGGGGGCCTCTGGAGGCCCACGGACTTTCACCCACCATGCTGTTTCCTGGCCCCAAGCTTTCCCAGTTCTCTCCACTGCACACAGTCCCGCCTCCACCTGGAGAACTCGTACTCATTCCCTAAGGCCCAGCTCAGATGGCCCTTCTGGGAGCCTCCCCAAGGAGAAGAAGCATCCCCTGAGTCTGTCTGCCCCAGAGCTGGGTCCCCATCCTTCTGGAAGAGAGCCCCGTGGCCAAACTCCAGGGGACACGCCAGGCGGTCAGAGGAAGCCGGCTCTGGATTCAGACACACTTGGGACCAAATTCAGCCTTTCCCATATGCCAGCTGGTGACCTGGGCCTCATCATCTGTGACAGGGAGATGCAGGCCTCCCTGCGTTGCTGGCTTGTGTGTGTGTGTGTGTGTGTGCGTGTGTTCTGCTGAGAAGGGGGATGTGCGCTGAGTGAAACATACGGACTGTGCAGACAGACACAGGACAAACCAGGCCTCCTTCCCTCCTCCCCAGCTACTCTCCTGGGGGGCAGCACGGGCACCGGTGTCAGCTTGACCCCCCCCAGGAAGCAGTCCATGCCCTGGAGAAGCACATACGTGGACCCCTGCCTTTCTTATTTTGAAAGCCTTCTATGGGCCGAGCAGCATACATTTGTGGGTCCATCTGCCTTCATGGTGCCGGGGAATCTGGTCCCTGGCCCTGCGAGGCACGTCATAGCCCTCCTCACTGCATTCCAGGAAAGGCCTACGACATACACCGAGACCCGAGCATCATCCCCACGGCCCTTCCCTAATACCTGTGGTTTCTCCCATGCAATGCCCTGGAGAACTTTCTAGAATGCAAATCTGCTCTGCTGCTTGAGCCCCTCTGGGGTGGCCTCACTCCTGAAGGATAATGTCCAGACCTCCTGGTCTGGTGCCCAAAGCCCGCCTGCCCCATGCTGGGCACGGGGAGCATGGTCCTGGTTTGGCCCTTCCTGGGGCTGGGGCTCCCTCTGGTCCATCGCTGGGTCCCCAGGTCCTGTTCCAGGATGTCCGCTGGGTGGACAGAAAACACACAGAGCTGTAGGTACCCTGCTTTTCTAGAAGCGTCTGCTGCAGAAGGGAGCCTGGGGTGTTCCCTTGGCTTGGACCCCCACAGGAAGAATCTCTTTTTGCCAACTGTCTCTGAAAGTATTCCAACGGCAAGACCTTGCTGTCTCTTCTTGAGAGTGACCTTGGGCCTCCTGTCTCCTGGGAGGGATTCTGCCCTCTTTCAACTCCCAGATTATTCCTGGCGGGGGTGGGGGGGGGTGTCCCCAAGCCCTCTTTCTGGTGTGTGACAAAGCCTACAAGAGGCAAAAACCCAATTTTCCTCCCTAGGGCCCT